GATGCAGAAGCAAAACTCACAGCTCCGCAACGATCTCATGCTCCTCAAGGAGAAGCGCTTCTCGCCCGAGGACCGGTACGTACCACCCTCTTGTGCCTCTACTGCGCGTTCTTTCGACGAATTAGCGCTTGACTATGGCGCTGGATGGTGTGTGGCACACAAAATGCAGTAAAATACTCGAGGGCCAGATCGTGGAGCTGGAGAAGGAGAACAAGGAGCTCAAGACCATCAAGGAAGCCTTCACCAAGCTCAAGGACGCCTTCGCCAAGCTCGAGGCCGAAAACGTCCAGCTGCGGGTACTGGAACTGCAGCCCGCCCCTCCGAATCGCTGTCGTGCTGGGCACCTGTTCGTCAAGTAATTGATTCACTGCTTCATATTTACGTCGGCTATCAGGGACTGGCCGACCAGAACGCCTCGCTCAAGACCGTCATCGACAACCTCACGAAGCTCGACCACCAGCGACAGGTCCAGCTTGAGCAGCACAGGTAACGCGCCATCGACCGACCGAAAGAGACCGCCTCAGTACGACGTAGACGAACTCTAAACTTTGAGTGTCGAAATGGCGTGTGCGTGTGTGTTGTGTGTATGTGTGAGTACTAGGACTCTCCTGGAGCAGGCGCGCAACACAATCGCGTTCCTCAAGCAGACGCTGGAGGAGAAGGGCATCGTGTACGACATCAACGCCCTCAACTCCCTGAGCAAGGGCATGGCCGGTTCCAAGTGGTCGCTCATGGAGGAGCTCGAGCGGCGACTCCTCGAGATCCTCCAGGACAAGTCCAAGTCCCGGGAGGAGATGAAGGTGCGCTGGCCCGACCCCATGACACGTCAGGCTGACGTCATGCCATCGAACGAACGAGCGCTAACACGTGCATTGCGCTCTCTGTCTGTAGGAGGCAATTTTCGCCGAAATCGGAGGCAGCGTCGCGCGTCTGATTGAAATGGAGGACGAGCGGGAGAAGGAAAAGGACGAACGGGCGATGCAGCAGCAGGAGGAGGACAGCGGAGACGAAGAGGGGATGAACGGCGAGGACAAGGCCAAAATGGACGAGATGCTCAAGACTCTGAACGACCGACTCGACGCCGGCGGGAACGGTGCGGCCGCGGCGGCCAGCAGCAAGAAGGCCAAGAAGAGGGCCAACAAGCGGAAGAAGAGCCCTCGCGGAGGGAAGCAGAAGCAGAACGAAGACGACAGCAAGCTGCGAACAGAGAACGAAGAGGAGAAGCACCTCGCCGAAAAGCTTCGGCAGAAGATCGCCGAGAGCCTGGGCCAGGTGCGCGACTCAGCTCGCCGGCTTACAGTTCAACACGCGCACGCCCACTCCCCCTGCGCTAACGTCAGCGCGCGCTTTCTTTCTGACTCCCAGAGCAAGGTGGAGAACTTTGACACGCCGCTGGAGTGGGCGCGCTTCGTGCAGGCCAGCATCGACGAGTGGAAGCGCGACGTCGAAGAGGTCAAGCGCAAGCACCCACCACCAGCCGCTGCAGCTACAGCTACAGCTACGCAGAACGACACGCCCGTCGACAACAAACAATCAGCCCAGCCACCGGTGGCGGCGGCGGCGGACAGTGGCGTCAGCTCGCCCCGAGGGGAGTCAGCGCAGACTCGCGCCGCTTCCGAGGGAGGCAAAAAGCGGCGGAAACAGCGAAAAAAGGGTAAAGGCGGCCAGCAGCAGCAGAAGGACGCGGAGAAGAGGGACAGCAGGGACCCGTCTCCATCGTCCAGCGGCGACATGGACGTGGTCGTGGAGGTCGACATCGAGCCCGAGAGCTACGTCGTCGACGATGAGCCGCCCACCGCATCGTCGCTGTCGACCACCACCACCCGAATCGTCGTCTCGCCGCGTTCTTCGGTGCCTTCGGCGACTTCCGCTGGTGAGCCCACCTCGCCGCGGCAGAAGTTCTCGGGCGCTGAGTCTGTCGACAGCAAGTCGCGCGTGGCACAAATGCGTCGACGCAAGCTTCAGCGCAACCTCAGCCTGGGCGAGGAGATGATCCTCTCCCTGTCGCGCGAGGACGAGGAGCGACAACGGCACGAGGAGGTCGAGAAGCTGACCCGGCTCAAGGAGCGGGTGTGCCGGCTGAAGGACGAGCGCGCAGAGTGGCAGCGCGACCGGGAGGCGCACGAGGCGCTCCAGGCCGAGCACGAGCGGCTGCAGGTGACGGCACGCAAGGCCCGCGAGGAGTGGAATGCGAAGCATAAGGCGCTTGTCGACAAGATCAAGGCCAAGGAGGAGCGCCTGGGCGCCATGCGCCGGGCGCTCGAGGTCAAGAAGCGGCGCATCGAGGAGTTCAAGAAGGTGGTCGAGGCCAAGGACGCGCAGTTGAACGAGCTCAATGTTAAGGTGGCTGCCCACGGCGACGCCCAGGCCCTCGCTACCAAGGAGGGCGAGTGGGCCAGGCTCGAGGAGGAGCTGCGGCGGCAGACCGAGGCCCTGGCCGGCGAAATCGAATCGCGGAAGGCCAACGAGGCCCGGCTGGCCGGCGAGATCGAGTCCCTGTCAGCGCAGCTCGCGGCGCGCGGCAAGGAGGGCGAGTGGGAGGCGCGCGAGGAATGTCTGCGGAGGGAGATCGAGCAGCTGGGCGCGCAGATCAAGGAGGTCGAGTGCGAGAAGCGTGCGCAGCTCGACGCCAAGGACCAGGTCATCGCCGACCTCAACCAACGGGTCGAGAACACGGAGACGGCGCTGCGCGAACTTAAGGAGGCGCTGGCGACCAAGAGCGGCGAGCTCGAGAAGGCGACGGAATCCGAAGCACGTCTGCGCGAGGAGCTGGAGACCAAGGAGGCGCGGCTCAAGGAGGCGCTGTCGACGCAGAGCCACGACAGGCAGCGCAGCGAAGAAGACGCGGAGGAGAAGATCAACCTCGAGAACCAGATCAAGCGGCTCGAGGACATGCTGCACTCGCTCATCGAGGAGGTCGACAAGAAGCGCATGCGCGAGGAGGAGCTCCTGGGCGAGATCGTCAAGCGGGAGGAGACGATCAAGGAGCTGCAGCAGAAGATCGAGCATCTCGAACAGCTGCTCAACCGACAGAAGGCCAAGCGCCGGGTCAAGCAAACCCACAGCATGCGGCTACAGCGGGAACTCGGTACGCGTGCACCCAGCACTTGAAGTCTGCGGCTACATGCCGTACTGACTTTTGATGTCGTGTCGTGTGTGTCGTGTTCAGTGGAAGCGCAGCAGGCTCTGGAGGAGCAGCAGCGCATGGCGGACAAGCTCAAGCAGGAGATGGAGCAGCAGGAGGAGGACAAGCGAAAGGAGCTCGAACGGGTGCAGAAGGAGATGGAGATGAAGTCCAAGGAAGAGCTCGAGAAGGAGAAGGAGCGCATGCAGAAGGAGAAGGAGAACCAGAGGTACACCTCCTACTCCCCCCTCAACGTTGCCTGTGTGTGTGTGTGTGTGTGTGTGTGTGTGTGTGTGTGTGCTTAACCCGTTCCGGACACACACAACAGAAAAGAGTTGGAGAAGAAGCACCAGAAGGCGGGACGGGCGAAGGACAGCGAGCTGCTGGCGGCCTTCACGGCTGCCGCCAAGGAGCAGGTGGAGATGGCCCTCACGCTTGCCAGGTAAGAGGTTCCCCCAAAGTCTAATTTGTTGTGTTACAATGGAATTATTATTGCAACGGGCCACTGATGCGTGATTGGTACCGACGCGTAGAGAGGCCGAGAATGTTGTGGAGCGAATCGAGGATGTAGATAAGAAGGCCAACGCCGCCAATTCGATCCGCCAGTGCGCCACCCTTTCTTCTTTTTCTCACTGTCGCTTCATCGCCACAAGAAACGGCACTCACATGGCTCACGCACGCCACGCCGTCACTCGCCGTTCACTTTCAACGCACACAGGCTCAAGGAGTGCAGCCAGGAGGTGATCAATTGCGTGGAGGCGACCTCCAACGACCCGAGCAACCTGCAGATGCAGCAGGCGCTGATGCAGAAGCAGCGAGAGCTGGGCCAGGCCATCCAGCGGGTGGTGATCCACACCACGGTGGAGGGCGCCACGGCCAAGACCGAGCTGGAGAGGGCCGTCGAGGCCATGGCCAACGCCACCGGCGCCGGTGTGGGCGACAAGAGCGCGGCTGCGGACGATGCCAATGCCGACAACGTCACCGTCATGGCTGCAGCCCAGGAGGCCATCCAGGAAATCGAATATGCCTTCACCCTCGCCCCAGCCACGGGTACGCTTAACACGACACACATGACACACACGACATGGCACACGACATGGCACACGACACGCACGCACGGCTGCTCATGGAGGTTTCTGCTGGTCGCAGGCCAACTGTCGATGAGTGGTGGCCAGCCGTCGGATTCGGTGACACTGGCCGGTCGCATCTTGGAGAAGGTGAAGCGATTCGCGCGGCTGCTGAAGCAGGTGGCCGCCAAGACGGAGGACCCCAAGTTCAAGAAGGAGATGCTCGAGTACTCCAACATCCTGCCCGATCGCGCCATTCAGCTCAAGATCATCGCCGCCGTCAAGTCCTCCTCGGCCCGAGACGAGTCATCACAGCTAAGCAGCGCTGCTCAGGGCCTCAAGGTACTACGCCACGCTTGCAACACGCGCAACGCGCACAAGGGATGGAAATTGATGACGATGACGATGATTGGTGGTGTGGCTCACGACATGGCGTTGTTTGCACGCAAACGCTAGGTGTCGATTCAAGAGTCACTCGAAATCTTGAGCGTGGCTTCGCTCAAGAAGGGCCTGGCGGCCACTATCAACCAGGTGTCGGCACTGAAGAGCCTCATGAGCGCGTGGAAGAACTCCAACACTCTCGTCTTCGAAGTCTAACCCAACGAACGGGCGACCGACCAGCAGAGACTTCGCGTCTTATTATAAATAGTTATTTATTCTTAATTATTGGCGTTAGAACTCCGCGGCTTCGGGGTGGTTGGCCAATAGTAGGGCGAATTTGCGCCCGGTGCGACAAGACAGGAAGCGTCTGGGCACAAGAGTTGCACCTGAATTTTTTCCACATAGTCGTTTCCAGGTCGGCCTTTCCAGCTAGCCAGAACCCCCCCTCCCAGCCTTTTCTCGGAGCACAATTCTACCAAGCGGTGGCCGAGGCTTCTCCCAGCCGTTGTGTCCCTTCTTTTGTTTAACTCCTGCCACCCACAACTACGACGCAAACGATCATCATCATGCCTGCCAGACGGAGGCACTTGACTGTGGCGGCCCTGCTCTTGGCTTTGGTTGCAGTACTCTGCTCGGTCCCTCTGGCCCTGAGTACAGGTTGGTTTTTTCTTAGTGATCTAATGATATTGTGACGGAGGGCATATCTCCTCCCTCTTGGTGAGTGTCGATCACTCGGCTCACATGTTATACCCCTTTTTCTTCACTCTTTCCTCTTCTACCACCATCAAGATATCGATGTGTGCGCGACCTGCACGCACACGACACCCAACTCCGCTTTGACCGTCGCTGGCCCGGGAGACACCATCAGGGTGGCGGGCGGCAACTACAGCTGGCCCCCGATGATGGTCGCCACAGAGGGGCTCAACTTCGTGTATAGCCCATACCCCCACCCAACCTCTTTTGTTAACCCCACAGATACACCTCTCATTCTTCTTCCTCTTGTTTCTCAGACTGAACGGGAGCGTGACCGTGAGCACCACCTTCTCCTCTTTCTGGCTCACCACCAACGTCACCACCACGATCAGCGGGGCCTCACTCACCCTGCTCAACGGTGCCCATCACGTGTGCCGCTGTTGCTCTACCCCATTGGCATTGGCCTAACTAACTACTGTTTTTTTCCTTTTCTGGCCTTCATCTTTCTGCAGCCGGCTTGACCGTGGGGAGTGGTGGTGAGCTCATCCAGGCGGCCCCACTCTATCTTCGCATTCCCGCTTCCTATATAGGTACCCCCCCCCCTCACCCTTCGTTCTTCGGACTTACCCACTCACCCACCCTTTATGCAACACTTCCAGGGGTGCGGCTAGCCCAAGGCGCAACGTGGCGGCAGGAGAGCTCGGTCGAGGCGCTGGTAAGTGAGGCACCGCCTGGTGGAGGGTCCCAACCTACGATCACTGCCGCAGCTGACGCCAGATGGCACCAAAACGCTGACGTGGATATCGTCAACGCCTCTACGGGTGCCACCACTTGATATTTCTAGGTATCATTTTTGTAGTGCTGACCTCCGAAAACCTTGGTGGCGTATGGTGGTGTACTGCAGGCGTGACTATGGACCAACCCAATGCCTCGTGGTACCAAGCAGGAGCTCTAAGATTCACATCTGAGGCTGTTGGGGCTATTGGTACTCAACATTCCTCCCCACAAGTCTAGTCTGTTCTCGCTTGCAAGGTCTAACATTCCCCCTCCACCATGCCATTTCTATGTGCAGGGGTCTTTCTGAACAGTGCTGTGCTGTGGGACCAGACCGGGTTTGCTAATGTCAGTTGTGGCTGCTACGCCGGTGCCCTGACTCTCCCCTTCTCTCTCTCTCTCTCTATCTCATTGTCTCTGTCGTGTGATTGTCGCTCCTGTTTGGCGTCGCTCACCCTCACACTACGGTGGTGCAGCGGTGTACCTGAATTCCGGCGCCACTTGGCAGCAGCGCGCCAACGCATCCATTTCGACCCGTATCACCGAGGTCCAGGTGCCCAGGGCAGGTAATGCCCATTATTTCCCACTTGGCGTGGCCCCACCACTCATGCCTTGGTCTGTTGTGTGTGTCGTGCCATGTGTGGACAGCCGTGTTCATATCGGATAGTGACACACAGTGGATACAACAAGCCTACACCCACATTTCCTGGACTGGGTCCGCTGGTACTCTAATCCCCCCTTTCTCCTTTTCTTTCTCCAACGACAGGGCCTGCAGGACTAAGAGAGGCCTCACATGCACCACCAGGAATCAACTGCCAGCTGATGCCCAAGTGGGGCAGGTTTGGCCCATTGACGCTCACCCCATCGACAGCTGCCAGCATTACGGGTAAAACGCTGCGTCGACTCCAACAGCTTTTTAGTTCTTCTTCGTTTTTATATCTGGTGGTTGGGCAGGTTCCTACACAGCGATGTCTCCTTCGCCCACGCCATCCGCCACTCCGTCCCCGGTCATCCAGACGGCTTCGAACGTCACAATTGCCAATGCACTCGCGCTCCAGTTCTACCAGAGCGTGCCCGCCGTCAACCTCGTCCCCAAGGGTACCCAAGTCTCTTCTTGATGGCGATGATGCAATCCGTCTTTAATCGCCTCCCCCACAGTGGAGAGTGGTGGCCAAGACCAGCAAGTTCTGCGCAAAGAGGAGGCGGTGGTCGTCACCCTCGGGTCCATCACCGAAGTCGGGCCTGCCGCCGAGGTCCGCCAAACTGCGATCATTGATGCGGGTACGACCAATCCTCTTCTCAGATTTAACCATCTTCTTCCTCATTCGTCTCCCTCGAACATAGGCGTCTGGACTACGTTTGCCGACACCCGCTATGGCGCGAGCCAATCGTTCGTCTTCACGGCTCCGTTGCACATCAACTCCCACACCTCCGAGCCCGCCGGCCAACTCCAACTGCGCTACTTCCTATTCGACCTGCCCACCAACATCTCCTTCATCGACGCCAACACCTCTTCACCCGCCGGCCCGGTCGATCCGCTCCTGATCACGCCCGACCTGGCCAAGATGTCGGTCGCCCTTCAGGTCTGGCCGTGGCTACCGCAGGCCGAAGGCGACCACCACGAGCTGGTCCTGCGCTTCACCATCAGCCCTCCATTCACGTCGTTCGTGCGCCGCAACGACACGCCGCAGGCGGGAATCACCACGTTCGAGCTGTCGGGCCAGCACGCGGGCGAGGTCACCACAACGCTGCGCCTGGTGGACGTAGTCGAGCTCGACGGCCAGGCGGTGCTCGGCCCGGCCAAGGTGTCCTTCGACGTCGACCCGGCCACCTCGCAGCTGGTGCTGCGCTTCGGGCACTTCAACTCGACCCTGCTCTACGACCCAGGCACGCAATCAATTGCACCTTCAACCAGCCCGCTAGTGATGGTGTGAATTGTATGGCTGAGGTGGCTGGCTTGTGTGTTGCTGGTGATCTGCAGATTTTGGCCTGCTGGTGGCTCGTGGCGGAGACGACGGTGGAAGCGATGACAACCTCGCGCTGATTGTCGCGGTGGCGGTGGTGGTGCCGGTGGCTGTCGTGTTGGTGCTGGCCGTCGTTGTGGGGGCGGTCATCATCGGCGTCTGGCGCCGACGAGCCGTTGCTTCGTCCATGCAGGCTGTGAACATCTCGGCTGATGAGCGTCAGGACGATGATGTGCTCTAGCGGTTCTATTGCAAGGTTCATTTTATAACAAAGTTTTGTGTTCAAAAAGGAGTCCCATCTGGCGTGGTGCACATCTGGTGTGTGTGTGTGGCATGCCTATCCTATGATCCGGGTGGTGTACTTGGAGAATACGCTGACGGATGTACTCCCACGCGGGCGGGGTAAGCAGCCTCTCGGTGAATCGTGTGCGTGATGAAGCCCGGCGGGTTGGGTTCTGTGTGTGCGGCGGAGCGTGTGCGGTGGCGCGTGTGCGTTTGGCCAAACGCGGGTGTGGAGGTTGTGACGCGGCACCTTGAACCGGTCTTTGCCCCTCGTTGCCGCTCTTCTGTTGTTCCAGGTGCTACTTGGCCACTCACCGCACGCCCAACATAGACGCGTGGTATTGTCGGTTGCTCATTTTCTTCTCCAATCGGCAGTGATCCACGTGCGTGCTGTCGCATAACAGCCGCACGAAAGGATCACTGCCTTCTCCTTCTGGTGCTGGTCTGGATGTTGCTGTTGTTGTTGAGCGAGAGCGAAATCGTACTCGGTGGGCATGGCTGCCATGACGCGCCGCCTCCCAAGGTCAGAACTAGTCTCGTGGGGAGCTGGTGGCACAAAACAATAGTGATTGTAGCGGTGATGCGACTACCTTGGTATGCACCCGGGTGTGAGCAGGTCGAGTCGTGATTCGCGATCCCACAGTAGTACTACGTCGACGGAAGGGACCCCTTCGTCCTCGATCTTGAGAAAGGCTGTGGACGCCGCTTCTTGGACACCCTCCGTGGTATGTGCGGGCACGTGCGATTTGTGTGTGTGTGTGGTGTGTTGTGTGTGTGTGTGTTGTACGTGCGGTGCGCGGCAAAACACAGTAACGACGCGGGGAACGCCAACAGTTTTTTTTTTTTTTTTTACGGGGCCAAAAACCTGCCAAAAACCGACCACCTTGCTGAGGTTAAGGTGGCGTTCTTGTATTTCTCCGGGGCGGTCAGCGGCCTCCGCGGTGCGTCTTCGCCTTTGCCTCTGCAGCTCGCAATCCCATCAGCTCTCACATCTCCCTTCCCGAAATGGCCCTCAACACGGTTATCTACTATGCTGCCCTCCGCGGTATCGATTACCTGAGCGAGGCCGTCACCGTCGAGGCTGCCGCCCCCGCCCAGACTGAGACCAAGCCCTCCGCTGCCCCCGTCAAGGAGGCGCCCGCCGCCAAGAAGGCCGAGGAGGAGGTGGATGAGGACGACCTTTTCGGAGGCGTCGATGAGGAGGAGCTCGCTGCCGAGAAGAAGAGGCGCGAGGACGAGAAGAAGAGCAAGAAGAAGGTTGAGGAGATTCAGAGGTCCAACATGTACGATCCCCCCCACATACCCCTCTCTTTGTTCGTTCAATCGCACCGCTACTCGCAAATTTGAAATCAAAATTTCTCGAGTAGCGCTTTGAAGCAAAATATCGAAGCCATGGCAGCGCATCCTACGCTCCTGTGTCTTCGTCACGGTAAATTTGCTAAAGTAACGCGGCAACATTCGCCGACTCATATCCTCATTGTGAGCCGGACTACGAGTGTCGCTACATCACCTTTCGCCTTTAATCACGCATTCTCTGATTTAATTTGCGCTATCACTGATTTTGAACCTGCTCGCGATGTGCAGCATCTTCGACGTCAAGCCTCTCGGTGACGACACTGACCTGAACGAAATGGAGAAGGTCGTGAGGGCCATCACCCTCGACGGTCTTACCTGGGGTCCCTCCAAGTTCGTCGACATCGCCTACGGCGTGAAGAAGCTTCAGATCAGCTGCGTCGTCGTTGACGACAAGGTGCGCTCCTCTTTCTTCACGCCGCGCGCTCTAATCGCTCTTCATTCTCGCGATTGTCCAATAATTTGATTTTACGTGGGTCCTAACCGTTCGTGTTCACTACGCGCAGGTGTTCACTGAGGATATTGAGGAGGGCATCATGGCGCACGAGGAACTTGTGCAGTCCGTCGACATTGCCTCCTTCACCAAGGTGTAAAGGGCGCTACAAAGGCACCTCCACCCACCACCTACGCTCCAAGACGACTGATCCCATCCGTGCCGGGAGGGAATAAAGCAGCACCATCACCAGCTCTTTGAACCCACTTCCTGTCCGTCTCGCCTTCTTGTTCTGTTCGATTTATTTTTGCCTACATTTTTCAAATTTCGCGTGTTTTGAACCTCACTGAAATTTCGCCGGCCAACGCTGTTCTTGACGTTGGGCCGGGCGACCCGGTGGCAGAGCCCCGGCACGTTTGGGCGGGATCTCCCCTCGGCCCAGCCCCCAGCATGCGGGACAACTCGAGGCCTCATCCCACAGATCGCCTAACGGCAACCTTCCTTTTCTTCCTTCACCACAAGGCGAATTGCGACCTGCGCGGGAGCTACCACCATTTCGCCATCTCGCTCTCGAACGTTCAACACCACGCAAAAGGTCGAAGAAAAAGAAGGCAGACAGTTCAGAAGAAGAAGAAGAAGAGGGAGAAGGAGCGAAGCAAAACGAAGACGAACGATGAGCAGTCCAGTGCAGGAGAATGGAGGGGCGTTTGCCGACACAGACGCGTTCGCGGGGCTGGTCTTCGCCATCTCGGGCAAGTTCACCGAGTCGCACGCCGCCATCACCTCCCTCATACGACGCAACGCCGGCGACGTCAAGGCCTCGGTCACCAAAGCAGTACTGCTATCTCCTCCTCCTCCTCCACGAGCCGCGCACCCTTTTTAGGGCTCGTTCTGCAGGTTTTGTTGACTGTTTTTTATTTTATTCCAGGTCACCCATCTGGTGTCGACCCTGGACGACTTCAACAGCAGGTCCACTAAGGTGGAGAAGGCCCTCGCCAACGTATAGCCCCTCCCCTCAACAATTCCTAAAGTTACAGGACTAATTTCTTGTTTGTCGGCTAACATTCCAAAAACCTGGACTTGGGCGACAAATCACAGGGAATTCCCATCGTGATGGAGCGGTGGGTACGAGAGTCCATCGAGGCCAACGAGGTACCGCCCCCCTTCCTTCCTTTCTTTCTTTCTTTCCTGTTCCCACGTGGTCTGTTGGTGGCTGTGGGCAGGCGCTGCCGCTGCGGCCCGAGTTTGTGCTGCACCCGGGCAACCGCCCCCTGGCCGAGTCCGAAGAGGCCGCCAAGGCCAAGGCCTCCCCGCGCAGTACGCGTAGACCACTTCACCCCCTTCTCCGCCTTTTTCTTTCTTTCTTTCTTGTTGAGCTCACCTTCTTTTACTGTCGACCAACCACTACGCGCGTAGCGGCCTCCATCGACGAAGGCAGAAAGGCCGAGCTGGAGGCGCCCACCGCGGCCGAGGACCTCACCGCGGCGGGCTCGGCGCCGATCATCGTCGACGAGTCGAGGCTGCCGTCGGCCGCCGTGACGATGGCCAAGGACGCCTCGCTGCCCGTACTCCACCCGACCATCGGCGCCAT